CAACCTGCATCCATCCCCCTTCGAAGGGGACATGTCCTGCATGCCTACTTTACTCCACTGGCTTCTCCCTCCGTCTGTCCTCCAGAGCTCACGCAAACCTCCACTGGCCTCAAGCAACTGGGCCAGCGCAGCGAGTTCGTCGGGGGCGGGGAGGGGGACAAACAAATGAACAGCCCCGGATTCTGGTGTTTTCATTAAAATTCTACCCAATGCCTGGGATTGCAACCATACAGGAACCGATGTGGGCTTATCAAAACAATCAGAGTCTGGGGAGTGGAAAAATAATCAGTTGTCGGCAGCATGAGTCTGTGAGTCCGTGTGTCAGTCTGTGTGTGTGTGTGTGAATCTGCGGGAGTCTGTGTCTATGTGAGTCTGTGTGTGTTTGTGAGTGTGTGTATCTGTGTGTGTATGTGTCTGTGTGCATGTGCATCTGTGTGCATGTGCATCTGTGTGTATGTGTGTCTCTCTGTGTGTGCAGGTACATGTGTGTGCCTGTGTGTTATCTGTGCATGTCTGTATGTGTGTGTGCATGTGTGTGAGTCTGTGTGTTTCTGTGTGTCCGTGTGTGTGTGAGTCTGTGTCTGTGAGTCTGTGTGTGTACATGTCTGTGTGTGTCTGTGTGCATGTGCATGTGTCTCTGTGTGTGTGTCTGTGCATGTGTGTCTATGTCTGTGTGTGCACGTATGAGAGTCTATGTGAGTCTATGTGTGTGCATGTGTGTGTGTGAGTCTGTGTATGTGTGTGCATGTGTGTCTGTGTGCGGGCACGTGTGTCTGCATGTCTGTGAGTCTGTGTGTGTGTCTATGTGTGCATGTGTGTGTGAGTCTGTGTATGTGTGTGCATGTGTGTCTGTGTGCGGGCACGTGTGTCTGCATGTCTGTGAGTCTGTGTGTGTGTCTATGTGTGCATGTGTGTGTGAGTCTGTGTGTGTGGCACTGAGCATGGAACCCACGTCTCACCCAGCCCCAGAGAATCTCCGAGGAACGGACAAGCCTGGGGCCACGGCAGCACTGTTCTCAATAACCAGAAGGTGGGAGCAGCCCGGGAGCAGCTGCCGAGGACAGAGAGCGAGGTGTGTGCGCACAGCGGAACACGGCTCAGCTGCGAGAGGACACACGGATGAACCTCGAGGAGCACAAGCCAGTGCCCAGTGAGTGGCTCAGTGGTACAGGCCCGGCCAGGCATGCTGATCTATCCCCAGCCCCTTGGAGAAGGAAAACAAGGAAGGGAGGGAGGGAAGAGAGAGGGAGAGAGGGAGAGAGGAAAGGAAGGAAGGAAAGAAAGAAAAAGACAGATAGACGGATGTGGGGCCATCCCACCTTCTGAGGCCCCCAAGAGTACTTGGACCCCTGGAGAAAGTTGCAGGCAGGTGAGGGGCATGGCTGCTACTGCTTAAGGCACGGAGTTTCACTCGGAAGCTGCGGAGGCCCTGGGGGGCTGCAGATGGAGCTAATGTCCCTGAGCCGAACTCCTCAAGAGCGTTTTAACCAAAAATCACAAAGCCTCGAGAGCAACAAGGCAGTCACTTGAGCATGTTGAGGGGTCCAGCGCCCAAGGTTGCCCTGCTGAAGAGACCTGGGGAACACTCTGTTGGCCATGTCGAGGTCTTCCTGGCAATGCCGAGCATTTTCTAAGAAACATCCAGCCCGGGCCCATTACTCAGGCAGGCTGAACACAGGAATGTGACTTCGGGAAGAAAACCAGGCACCGCTGGCCCACGTAAGAACTGCGAATCAGCAGGTAGTCATACTCCTGGGTACGCAGGCTGCCTTCCCCTAAACTCAGTTCCCCTCAACACAGGGGCAGGGGCTCCAGGGCTCGCCCAGCCTGGCTCCTCCTCCTCCTCCTCCTCCCAGCTGCAGGGCCAGGCCCTGGCCAGCTGCCTCCACTGTGCTCCTAAGGGAGCAGGATTCTAGATGACACTCTGTCATAAAAAATGAATCTTTTAAATTTATTTTGTTGTTTTGAGACAGTGCCCAGCTATGCAGTTCAGGCCATCCTTGACCTTATTACATACCTTAGGCTAGCCTCAAACTTTCAGTGATTCTCCTCTCAGCCCTGTGGTGCTGGGATTACAGGCCTGTGCCATCACATTTGGCTGGACTCTTAAAAAAAGAAAACTGACATAGGGCAATGTTAAAAACTATAGGCAGGGGGCTGGGGATATAGCTCAGTGACACAAGCACCTGTCTGGCAAGGGCAAGGTCCTGAGTTCAATCCCCGGTACTGCAAAAATAAATAAATAAAATAGAGAACCTATAAAAACTATAGGCAGGGCGGAGATATGGCTCTGTGGCAGAGCACTTGCCTAGCATGCACAAGGTCCTGGGGTGCACCCCAGTATCCCTCGCACACAGAAAGGAAGAAAGAAAAGGTGCAGGAGAAAGGTAAGAAAAGTAGCAGCATAATGTGCACAGTAGGATTCTACTTAGAGGAAGGAAGTAAACAAGGGAACTTGACAAGTACCGAACACTTGTCTGTGGCTGTCTGACCTTGAACTTGTGTGTTCTTTGAGTGTGACAAGGTCTCATAGGGGTGGGCAAGAAAGGTCTCCAGGGACCACCCTCGACTAGAAAGGTAAACACTGCTGGGTACAGTGGTGCACATCTGTCACCCCAACACGCTGGGAGGCTGAGGCGGGAGAATCTCAAGTTCGAGCCCAGCCTGGACAACTTGGTAACTTAGTGAGAGCCGGTCTCAAAATTTTTTTAAGAAAAGAGCTGGAGATGTAGCTCAATGCAAAGGCCCAGGGTTTAAACCCAGTATAGCAAGAACAAAACAAACCCAGCATGACTTTCCCTGTGTAAGACAGCAGAAACCAATCTGATGTCTTGACATCAGTCTGGGTGCACTGTTACTGCTGTGTGACCATGGGGCTATTAAATTTTTTTTATTAAAAAAATTATTTTTGAGATAGGGTTCTCATATGTCATCCAGACTGCCCTTAAACTTCCTATGTAGCCCAGGCCGGCCTTGAACTTGAGAGCCTCCTGCCTCAGCCTCCCAGGTGCTGGGATTATAGGCATGAACCACTACATTCAGCCCCTTGAGGCTCATATCCAGCCACCGCTGTCCATGGCCAGATGACCGACACTGATAGCACTTACTCCAGGCCAGGCATGGGGCCTGGGGACTTACGGACATCATCTTAGTTGGCTCCCACCCCAATACCAAGGTGCAATGACTGTGCTAATTACTTCTCCAGATGAGGAAACTAAGGCAGAAGGAGGCTAACCAATGTGCTGAAGGTCACAGGGCTCACATGGGGCAGAGCATGGAGTTTCACCCAGGGCCTTGTGACGCCTCTATTTCCAATACCTCTTTCCTTCCTTTTCCAAAAGTTTTGTTTTGTTCTTTGTTTTTATAAAATAAAGCATATTAGTGTATGAATTAATGGGTCTTCATGAACAGAACTCTGTTCTGCCCAACCCGTAACTGCCCCACAGCCTGGCCAGGAACCATGTTCTGACTTGCAGGGATCTCCTCCGTGTCTCTTCAAACACAATTTTCCGCCTTAACTACTCCTTTTAGGCATGCGGTTCAGTTGTGTCCAACACAGTCACACTGTTATTTTGTTTGGTTTTTGGTTTTTTGAGACAGGGTCTTGCTATGTAGCCCAGGCTGGCCTTGAACTTGAAATTATCCTCCTGCCTCAGCCTCCTGTGTGCTGGGATTACAGGTGTGCATACTATACCTGGTGGCTGTAGTCAGACTGCTATGAAGCAAATCTCCAGAACTCTTCCCACCTTGTGAAAATGTAATTCCCCAACTATTAAACAACGGCCCCCCAGCTCCCTCACCCACCACACTACCTTCTGTCCCTGTGACTTGACTACCTCATACACATGGATGCTGACCCTACCTGTCCTCTGGTGACAGCTGTTTCGAGGGTCACCCTGCTGGGGTTGCCTTCCTTTCAATGAGGAGTCACACATCATACCATGAAATGCCACATCTCCTGCACCCCACCCTCTGCCCCACAGCCCAATGGGCTACTGAGCACAGAGCAACTGTGACCAGGATGCACACTGTCCCCCTGAGTTCTTTACAGGTTTTTATTTTTATTCATGCATGTTTGGAATACATAGTAATTGCATTCAGCTTGGGGATTTGATACAGATACATCTCATTTCTTTTCTTTTCTTTTTATTTTTTAAATGATACAGAATTTTTTTTTTTTTTTTTTTTTTTTTTTTTTTT